ACTGGGAGGGAGCACAGCCAGGACAGCCAGCCCAGCTGGCCAACGGGGTATTCCACACCATGTGACGTCATGCTCAGTATATGAATGGTAGGCGTGTTCCAGGAAGTAGCGATCACTACTTGGTTATCGGTTAGCGTGCATGGTGAGTAACTGCGTTGTGCATCACTCATTTTGTATATTCTATCATTATCATTATTATTTTCCTTTTTCTGTTCTATTAAACTGTCTTTATCTCAACCCACGAGTTTTTCTCACTCTTTCTCTTCCGGTTCTCTCCCTGTCCCACTGCGGGGGGTGGGGGGCGCGCGAGCAGCTGCGTGGTATTTGGCTGCCTGCCAGGTTAAACCACGACATTCACACACAGGGGGAAGTGGCCGAGTGTCACTGAAGCAGCACAAGCCACAGTTTTGCCAGCACAACACAAAACTATCAGTACACACGGCAACTCTGCAGTACCAGGAAAGCATTCCCACCAGAAGAATAACCTGAGTGTGTAAAGCTTTGGACTTAAACTACACGAACAAAGCACATATGCACAGAAATACGAAGCTTCTAGATTTGAGTCCTTTACTTGGAATTTGCAATGTACGAACAAAGCAGGGTAACGAACACAGGCCTCCCGTTCCTGAATTAGCACCCAAGCCAGACACCATTACTCCTCTCAACTTCGTTTTGCCTCCCACAAGCCAAATGAAGGTACACAGAAGATGTTTCAAACTAAAACCTACTCCTGCTAGCATTCACTGACCCGACCCTGCTCTTCCCTCACAAGTTGTTACGCTGTGACTGACACCATGGGGCTGGGCCAGCTCCATGGCTGTGAGCTGCATTCTGCTGCAGTCCTGCATGGACACAAAGTTGACTTTCATGGAAGGAGCACAGAAGAACCATTTTGATACACTGAGCACAGCAGCGGTTTAAAGAAAGCCAAGGGCCAAAGTAGCTTGGACTGCCAAAGAGAAAACAAGTCTCATCATACAGCAATTATATTTTGCAACAGATAAACCCTGGCACCAGGGATGCGATTCCTTATTAATGCAACCACACGTCCTGCATTGTGAGGCAAGTTCATAAACCAGAGGCTTCAATCTCCTCTGCCAGTGAGAAATGACTTGAACTTCCATTTAGATGCTGAACTGCTTTTGCAAATTGCTCCCGCTGCCCACAATTACAGTCATTTGGGTGACATCACCTGCTGCTCCTTATCTATTTAACACCAGGGAGGAACGAAAAGCAGACAGAAAAGTCACAACTGGAAAACACAGAAATCAGTTAAAGATTTAAAGATAAGATCCAGAATTCAACAGCTTTGGTTTTACAAGGTAATACTAAATCATGTATTTTATAAAATTAAAAGCCACTAAATTTAATTCTTTATTTGGTAATGGGTAATTTGTAATACTCTGAACCTAAAGTCAGAGGTATTAGCAACTGATACAAGGACAGACTAATCAAAATGGGCATTAAGTGCAAAAATAACCTATAGGGGAGTTGACAGCTTAAAGAGGAAGGTCTTTGACTGTTCTAGTATAGCCCCATAGCTGGAGATTTCTTTCAAGACACTTCTGCTACTCCGACCATGCAAGAGAGATTCTACCGTCCTTACAGGAGAAAATAAATTGTTCTGCAACATGAGATCTGGGCTAAATGATATTCTGTTAAGAGCTTCAGTGAGCAGACTGTCGAAATTTGTGCACTAATCTATCAGTGCTTAAATACTGATATAAATTCTTCTCAAGCTTTCAAAAGAGCAACACTCAAAAGTAGCCTCAAACCATTTAGAAAGGAAAGCAACAGACAGCTCTCTCATTTCAGTTCTTTCAGTCCAGAAATGCACACACACACACAACTACCGTGTGTTGGCCTTTGTAACCAGCAACTTGCCAGCTGCTTCCCCAGGCAGGGAAGTCAGCGTTTGGTATTCGGAGCATTTGCAGACATTAGGGTCCTGCAAAGACAACCTCCCGGTATTCTAAAGAAAAAGCAGCCCTCTGGCCCTCACCTACTGCCCTTACAGGAAAGTACCAGTAGCTGTAAGCTGCGGTAACTCCTTATATCCTACCCACAGCTAACAGTGTAACGCATTTAGAGATGCAAGATGTAGCAAACAATGCAAAAGCTTCAGCTTTGAATATTGCAAAAATCAAGGGCGCAAAAAGCATTGAAGGATTTTTCTGTTATCAAAGAGCTAAAGAAAGTAGCATGTTCTAACTCTGCCACCAGCAGAAAACAGTCCTCCAGACTTCGCTGCAAACTTTCTGTTGCTGGCTCTGTAACCTCTCGATACAACGGCTGCTGTAAACAAAAAATACATTAGCCTTGGTGGTTTGCAGGATTACAGTCTCATTGTCGCCCAGGCTCCAGCTTCTGCCTATTTGATCAAAATTTAGTAGAAACTTCTATCGATTCCTTTGCAGTTCCCCAAGGGAAACAGTCAGTACTGAGCAGTACAAAGGACACTAGAAAAGCAACCAGTGCAGAAAAACATGCCTTTGTCTAACTTGGAAACTTCTTACTATAGCTATTAAAAAAACTACAGATAAGATACCGATGTCAAAAGCGCAAACTCAGCATCTTAGGAGCCCTGGACAAGTTCTTTTCACATAAGGCAAGCCGCTTTTTGAAGGACAAAGAAAGTTTCCCCAACTCCTCCCACTAATATTACCAATAAAAACAAGAGCAGCATGGGTAAAGCTAATCTGTAACCACCACGCAAAATCTAGAATGCCAGAATCACACCAACATCCGAGTAATTCCATGCTTAAATCATAATTATCTGGGGCTTCTTTTCATAGAAGAAGGGTAAACAAGAAGCTTCAAGGCTTAAAGAAGCTCCCTACTTTAAAGGGTTCTATACTTCACAAAAAATTGCACAAAAAAAATTCCTTTCCACAAGTGGAAGACTCATGTTCTGAAGTAAGCCTACAAGGCAAGTTTCCCTGTAAATCAACCCTCTCCTTTAAGTGATACACTTCTATGCTCACGTTGGGACATGACACTCACCTACAACACATAGGTGGACATGTCCAGACTTCAGATAAGATTGCATGCTGATTTCATGCAGCCCCAAAGCACCAGGAACGCAGTTCTGCCATATGCCATCTGATGATTCGTCAGAACCCAACGAGGCTTTTGTATGACAGCCGTGCGACCCCATAGCTTCAGCTATTCTTACCTGGTAGGACATCACATTTGAACCAGAAAAAAACCCAGGAAAATCGGGGACAAACAAGCTGGCGGCTGAGGAGGGGAGTGTGCATCAGAAGACAGAACTTCTGCCTGTAATTCTGCTACAGATTTTTGTCTGTCCACAGGAAAGGCTTAGCCCTTTCTTTGTAGAAAGGGTATGACGGATACTCGCTCTCAGAAATGCTGCAGTGGTACAGTTCTTTGCTATTTCATCAGTGAATGATGGGTACTCCTACAGCCTGGATTGTGCAGGGAAATAGGGAAGTCGCTACTATGACTCATGGCTCTCCTCAGATTTTTCAAACAGCTCAGGCAGCAGTGCTGACATGAAAAGCAAGAGCAGCGGAAGCCCCCGCTCTCTGCTTCCTCCTCCAGATTTAGGCAGCGTGGGTGTTATTGCTGGGAACTGCTGCCCTCTGCTGTCACACAAAATAGAGGCGAAATGCTCATCTGACAAAACCAGGTTTACAGCTACATATAGAAAAAAAAAAATACACCATGATAATAACCACAAGGTCACAGTGCATTCAGGTTTCAAGTGGGTTCACCCAGGCCCCTCAGTTCTGGTCTTACACATTTATAAAACGCCTGCCCCTTTTTGCAGTGTATCCCGAGAAGCATCTTGCAAGCCAAACTCAGCCTAAAGGATGATTTTACCTAGCCCATCACCTTTGTTGCAGCTGTGTCAGAGCTAAAAGCACTCACCTATTAGTCCATTCAGCAAAACACCACTTACTGTCTGCAGATCTTTGTAGTGGACTGTGCACATCACCAGGGAAAGTGCCAGCAAATATCCTGCCCCCAGCACAGGGCTTGGACTAGACTGAAGGAATAAAAAGCATTACTGCCATCCCTGTGGGGCCATACGCGGTTCTCTCCTTGTCTCAACCTTCGCAGTGGCAGTGCCACGGGGAAGCTTTGCCAACCATTTTAAACACTGTCCACTTAGGAAAGCCTAAGTGAATTTACAGGCATATTTTGAAGTTGAGCAAAGACTGAGGTCTGCATATAAGGATACTCTGCAGCCCTCAGGCAGAAAAATCTTGGCCTCATTCTCCTCGAGATCTGTATGTTCTCATCATAAAAAAAAGTGTAAAGGAAAGAGGAAAAGATACACCGTGCTTCACAGTAAGTCTCCAGCCTGCCAGCAGAACAGCAGCACCCAGTTTGCTCTGAGCCCACAGTAGACATGTCACATCTGCCAGCTTACCTGACTTCCTCACCAGCGAAATCGAACACTTTGGTGATTGTCACTTTTCCTGAATCTTTTGGCTTCTCAGACTCTTTTGGTTTCTGCTGAAGCTTCTTCCCACTTTTCTCTTCTTCAGCCTGTGAAGGAGAAAGCAAAACAACACATTTGTGGAGCCAAGCCAAACTATCACTCCAAGGGGCCGAGGACCCAACGCAGACCTCAGGCAGCACTGCAATTCAGGCTGACTCGTCAAAGCAAGTCACCCACAGACAAGAAAAAGGAAACAAACGCCTCTGCCACCAGAAGGAAATTCCCCACTTTGGCTCCAGTCTCTCACTGGAGCTCAAGGATCAGAACAGACCCAAAACTAGAAGTGAAATGGTAATTAAATGTAGGAAGGAGCAAGAATACACTGCTGTGGTTCAGAAAGCAAGCAAAAGCCTGAAGACTCGGTTCTCCCAAACTAAGCACTGCCAGGCAGTAAAGCTGCCAGGGTGGACTACAGAGAAACATGTTTATTTTTAGTCAAGAATATAGAAGAATACAACCTATAAGCAGGAAAAGCAAGGCTGATCTTCATAGAGAACCCTGAAGATATTAAGCTACTTGTCAATAATATCTCTTTAATTTGAGAGGGAAATATGTTTATTATGACTATTTGTCAACAACATCTCTTAATTTACTCACTCACTACTACAGCTTTTAACAGCATACATAAAAAAAACCTCAGACCCTATAAATAATCAAAACAAAAACTAAAACTCTTGTTCTAAATCAACCACACACTGCAGAGATCTTCAAGCAGACAACTTAAGTCCAAATCAAGAAGTTCACACAGACAACACAGGAACTGCATCTCTCCATAAATTATTCCAGGCCACGGAGGAACCTTCAAAGACCACTCGTGTTTTAGCAATCTGCCCATAAAAGAACTTTTCCTCTCTCCTTCTCTCTAATTCTGCCTGAAACGATCTCAGCTGTTCAACCAGTAACAACTGAGGTGGAGAGAAGCAGGAAGGTTCAGATGAAAGGACTCTTCTAAAAGTTGCTAGGATTACACAACTGTACTTGTTCTGCAACCTTCCAACAGGTGTAGAAAGAAGCTTCACACAGTGAAGAGAACTGTCCTCGCCAGGCATCACTGGTTCAAGAGTCCAGACTTTTGTTACAAAATACTTCTTTTGGCTGACCACTCAAAAAAAAAAAAAAAAAAAAAGACAATTCTAGCAACAGAGGGTCGGTTTTGGTACCTGCTTCCCTTCTACCACCTGTGAAAAGTTTTGCAAGGCAAATACATGCATTTGGTTTTATTAAGAACCAAATCCTTTTAAATAGCTGACTACACACAGAATTCCCTCTACAGAAAACCTCTGCAGACAGAGAGCGAGAGCATGTTAATGGGGTTTATAAAGGAAACTAGAGAAAGCTAGTTACAAGTGTCCATCCCAACATGCAGTATCTTCCAGACCCCCTCACTGTACGAGGATGAAGGGCAAGGCACAGAGATGTCAGCAAGGTCTCTTCCGTTTCCCCACTCACACACACAGAGTCTCCCTTTTTTTGAGCATCGGAAAAGCTCTCCCTCGGGGGAGAGCTGTGCCCACAAGCACAACTCAGACCGAAGCTCACCGTGCTGCTCCTATGTCACAAGGAGAATCCAGCACCAGGAAGAGAAGCCAACAGGGCTTCGTGGGACACTCCGAGATGCTCACAAACAGCTCCAAAAGCAGCACCGCCAGACTACAGATCTCCCCAGTTGGAAGAAAACCAGCAGCTTCCAGTTTGCCCCATGGTGGGGCTCCAGGCTTACAAAGCAGATGAGGCAGGGGTGAACCCAGCCTCTTCCCAGCTCTGACTGACATGAGGTACAGCCAGAACCAATGCTGGTTCAACCTAAAGCCTCAGGCCCTTCCCACGCTCCCCGGGTGAAGGCCCAGGCCCCCGTTACCTTCTTAGCTTGCGTCACTTGCGTGGTGGCCCCCTCTTTGGGTTTCTGTCCCACATCGCTAAGGAAACTGGCCCAAAGAGCATCTTCTTTCTTTTTTTCTTCTTCTTCTCTGTTTCTTTCCACCTGCTTTACATCATCCACTTCCTCTTCCTCCTCTTCCTCTTCATTCTGCTGAGCCTTTTCTTCCCCTTTCTCATCTGGCTCTAGCAAAAGACCTCCTTTCTTCCTCTTCCTGGAAGCAGATGCCAAAAAAAAAAAAAAAATATACTGAGGTGCTGCAACACTATTCCAGAGCTGAACTGTAAGCACGGGTGAAGCAGCACGGTATTTCATATTCTCACTAAGACATTCTACCTGGGAGGTTTCCCCTAATCTTGGGGGTGAAGCTGCTTAATTAAAAGATGATTAAAAGAAAACACAGTGAGACTGAAGCAGGCAGTCCCCTGAAGTGGACTGGCACCTGTGTGCCTGTACCTGGAAGTATATAATGGACTCTGGGATGTTGTAGGAGCCACGAGGGGAGGAGAACTTAGGCAAGATAGGAAATCAATTTTAAATAAACTATATACGTGGCACCGAACGTGTTTTGTACTTAAAAAGGCTTATTAAAAGAAAAATAGCTAGCTCCTGGGGAGGGTTTTCAGGCACGGCGTCTCTTAAGCCTGAGGATCTCTGCCTCTGACGTTAAACCGGAACGAAGAAAAGCGTTTCTCAGCCCCTCAGCGCTGCGCCCGGCGGAACGAGCACCGGCGGAGGCGGCTCCCAGCCGGGCCGGGCAGAGCGAACGCGGATTCTCCCACC